ACAGAAACAAAGGGGCTGATGGGAATAAGTCTCCCTTCTACAGTTTAAGTTAGGACAAACTCGCAGCTTCACTATGAACACCATCTGAACACAGCCTGGTTTGCTAATCTTTTCCTGGCTTTGAACGGCTCACTTTAATTTCTGTCAACACACCGACTCGGGACATCTCGTGATTCACTTCAGTGTTTGTCTTTACGCTACACAGTCAATCTAAACGGTGCATAAAGCCTCAGGTAGAATCAACTTTGATTCAAAAACAGATCTCTGTGAATAAACCGTCTCATTTGAACTCAGCACAGAAATACATTTGCGCCCTTATCACTGACCTGACAGCTGTGACTATTAAACACATTCATGCACATTAGGATATGTGAACTGCACGCTCAGCTAAATGACGCCGCAAAATTAAGGCTCTCGGGCTAAATTTGGCCCCCTTTATATTCCCACAGCTGTTGACTGTACAGTCACACATGCAAGATATGGAGCCACAGACAGAGCACAGAGATGTGGAAGCGTCACAGCAGCACATCTCAGCTCAAAGTGATGGTTTCACTCTTACAGGTGAACCACACGATCACAGGACTCTTACTTTTCCTGTCTAAACGTTTTAAAGGCTAACAAACCTTTTAGTCGACTGATTAAGGACTCATGTTAACATGACTTAACTTCATGACACGTGCAGAGTTCATTAAATAATGCAGATCAGGAAACTATGAATGTGAATTCTCAGTTTTCTATTGGTGGGGGGCAGGGATAGCTCAGCAGGTAGAGTGGTCCCCCCCATGATCAGGAGGTCGGGGTTTGAATCCACTGAACAGCTACCCTGAGGTGCCCCTGAGCAAGGCACCGTCCCTGCACACTGCTGCCCGCTGCGCCTTAGTGGCTGCCCACTGCTTCACTGAGTGAATGGGTCATATGAAGAGAGGGTAATTTCCCCACGGGGGTCAATAAAGTATACAGTATTATTATTGTAGTGATTAGTATTTAAAGTTTAAACGACTCGGATTCATTCAAAAATCTAATCAATTAAAGTTGATCTACATTTTTATAGGACAATAATAAATCACAGACAAATCTATAAACACAGAGCTAATTAAACATCTGTTTTTCAGATTTATTGCTCACAGCTAAAGTTAGTTTTTATGCCCACACTGGTATTTGGTAGCATAATAAGCAATAATAACCCCCATGAGACGCACAAATAGCATATTTTTACACAATAGATGCGATTAAACCACTTCCACGGCACCGTGCAGCCATTTAACATGTGCGTCACGATGTCGCCCGACACAAACACTTTGTCAGCGACCCAACAGCTCCGAGTGTTTTTCGCGAGCCGGGTTTTCTTCCAGATAAAAATACAGAGGCGGCGAGCT